GGGTCATCACCGGATTTCTCTCCTTTCCGTGCTTCCGAGGCCTTGAAAACCTCGCTTTTAGTTGCCTCGATTTGCATGCGCAGTCTGGGCGCGAAGTCGGAAAGCTTTTATGTTGAAATATGTGAACTTTGTGAAAAATTTGAAGAATTTTGATATTAATATTGCTAAAGTTGACTTTGGTCAACATTTTTGGTAAACGGACCCGGACCCGTGATTTGGCGGTCCCGGAGGGTCCTTAGAAAAATATGGGACTCGGACATATGCCCGGAGTCGAATTTCGAGGTCGAGAGCCCGAGAAATGAATTTTTCTGTGAAATTGTTTTTCTGAAATTATTAAGGAAAATGAAAATGAAAATTGATTAAAAGACTATGGTATCGGGCTCGTATTTTGGTTCCGACGCCCGGTACAAGTCTTACATATGTGTTAAGCGCTTTCTGTAAAGTTTGGTCGAAATCGGACGTCATTTGACGTGTTTCGGACCTAAATATCTAATATTTGAAGTTATGAAGTTTGAAATGAAAATGATGATCTTGAGGCTTGATTCAATGATTTTTGATGTTATTTTGGCGATTTGATCGCTCGTTCGTAGGATGTTATTGAGTTAGTGTGTGTGATTGGTTAAGAGCCCCGAGGGCTCGGGAGTGAATTGGAGGTGGTTCGGGGTGTTTTTACACTTAGGAAATGTAGCAGGTTTTTGGTTTCAGCTGTTGCAGGTGATTTCTTCTTCGCGTTCGCGTGGTCTCTTCCGCGTTCGCGTAGCTTTAGCCTTCTACTTCATCGCGTTCGCATCCCTCGCCTCGCGTTCGCGTAGAGTCATCTGACCCTGAGGGCTTAGCCCTTTTTCTTCTTCGCGTTCGCGGACACTTGACCGCGTTCGCGTAGCTTGACAGACTCCCTTCAGCGCGTTCACGTTTCCCCTATCGCGTTCGCGTATAACAGTTCCTGGACCCCCAGCAATTTCCTTCTACGTGTTCGTGTCTGTCTCCACGCGATCACAATAGCTTACCCAGTTTACCCTTCGCGAACGCGGCCCTCTCCCGCGAACGCGAAGGGTAATTTGCCCAGCGAATTTTAAGTAAAATGAACAGTAGCTCGGGAATTCTCATTTCTTCTCACGAGCTCTCTTCTCCATCAAGCCTTAGGACTCCATTGAANATATCTATATTTATTAATTCAAGTAGTGTAACCAATTAATTCAAAATTTAAAATTCAATAAAAAGTTAGTTAGAAAAGTAGTTTATTTTATCTTAAAAATGCCACTTGGCTTTTTGTGGTTAAGACACTTGTCTTAATGTAGTGGTTTTACTTCTCCTATTCTGTATAGATAGATTTTTTTGGTTAAAATCATTTTGCAACACTATTTAATTTTTATCTCTGTTTTAGGAATTTTTTCACAAATTAACTCGGCTCTACATACACTTAATTTTTTTTTTTTTAGGTTTTTCCGCCAAAAGAAAGAGAAAAAAACGAGAAAGAGACGGCGAAAATTCAATTTCTCTGCTTGAACGTAGAGGTGGAAGACGGCGAAAACAGAGGAGTGAAGGGATGTATCTGAAAGCACCGTTTTGGAGCAAAGATTCGAACTCTGAATCTCAGACGGAATCGCCGCCGTCAGCGGTGACGGAGCTAATCAGTTCGCTTGAAAGGCAGAGAGTATACAGGGAGGTGACACTCGCACTGCGCACAGGACTCAGTGATGCACGTGCAGAGTTCTCCTTCCTCCGCATTCGTGGCCTCCGCGTCATCCTCAAGTTTCTCCGATCCGTTGCTGAGTCCGACACTACAATCAACCTCTTCTGTCACAGCCAATCCATTCCCGATCTTCAAGGTTTTCCTCTATTCTCTGTACCCCTAGGGTTTCTCCGATTGATGATTTTTCGTTTTCTTTATGTTCAGTCGCAGCAATTTATGGGAATATAACTGAATGTTTATCTCCATTTGGTTAACCGAAAGTTTGACGTGGGAAATTGGTTATATCAGTTGACCTTAGGGCAGTTGTGAATGTGGAAATTTGATAATGACATTAATCGGAAATAGGGGAAATGAAATTGAGGTTCATCTTCTGTCAAATGTGCTACAAGGAATTTAGGAAAAAAGAAGTTTTGCTAGTTTGAAAACCATTTATACCTCAGATGAGGTCTTGTGGAATTGGATATGGCTTCGGTTTGGGGGCAGCTCGGGTACATTTTGTGTCAGCTTCATTAGAAGATTGTCAAAATTCATTAAATTTAAGCTGAATTTCATTTTCTTACGACAATGTTTTGTGTCAAATCTAAAGCTTTCAGACGGTATTATCGTCATAATCAGTTTGTTTTAGCTTCAATCTTTTTGTATGATTGTTTGCACAACTGTATCAGCAGGTTACAAAAGAATGTTTGATATCTTCTCGAGTTGAAATGCTAGTTCAGCATTGATGAGAATTTAGGTGTAAGTATTCAAACTTACAACTTGGTGAACTGTGATCATCGCTTTCTGATTGACTTGTGGGTTTTACAATATGTTCTGAAGTATAATAGGAATTAAGGAGTTATGGTTTATTATTATGAAGTTCTCTTTTCTCTTTTATGTTAAAATTGGTATTTGCATGTAAAGCTAGCCTGTTCATTTACGGTTTAACTTCCAGTGAAAACAAGTCAAACAATTTTGTCTTTTCTGACTTGTTCACAGTCAAAAAGAGTGAAACTTCAGATGAATACAGACGAAGCCACAATACTTGTGAAATGCGGCAACAACTTGTTGATCTTGGAATTTTAGGGGCAGTGATGCCGCTGTCTTTATGTACATTTACATTCTCCATTGATGTTTATTCTGTGATTTTAGGGGTAAAATCTTCCAGTTTCTGCTAAATGATTGAAACTTTCAGTAGTATAGTTCTTATTATCATTATTTTGATGCTGGTGTATACGGGGATAATAAAAATTTGTACTCCGACACTATTTTGTTTAATTTGGAAAATGGACCCAGCTATTAACCATGACATATGCAACAGTGGTTCCAGTTCTATTCAAACATTCCTTGAGAGATATAGAGGACCAGAATGTAACCAGTCTAGACCACATATTTACTGTGGAACCTATGGAAATAACCAGCCCTTCAACTGATTCTGAAGTTGCCCTAGCGCTTAGAGTTCTGGAAGGTTGTTGTCTGCTTCATCGCAAGAGTAATGATTTGGCCCATCAACACAAGGCAATCCCGGTAAAGTTCCCTATTTTATTATGCCTTCTCAGAGAATCTGATCTGTGACTTTCTCCTTCTAGTCATGGCTCAGAAAATTGGAAACTGTAATCTTGTTCAAATGATTCTGACTATTCTGCTTGCCATGTCAATTTTATAGCTGCTTTTTGTAGTTGGAAAAGAGGTTAGCTTTCTGTTTTCAGTACCTTTGGAGATCATTTACACCCTCAAAGTTTATGCTTTCATGAAAATAGGCACTTCAAGATGATGATATGTTTAACTTGGTTGGAAATAAGCAGGTTTTGATGGAATCCCAGTTCCTATGCTCACCCTCAAATCTAGACGTTTAGTTAGTCTTTTTTTCCTGGAACAATCTAACCCCTGTTAAGTCCTGATGTCTTTTGGACTTTGTTAGCTCCCTGGTCATAGCATAGTTTTTTTTATACTCATGTTTGGAGCAGCTAATTTTTGCACATCCTTTCTACTTATTTGCATCTGCTTGATGCCTTATTAATGAAAATGCCCTTACTTCATAATTAAAAAAGCAGGTTTTGATGAACATACTATCAATCCGAGGAGTATTGGGACAAGGTGCGTGCTTGGATGCTTTGATTGCTATAATGCTGGATTCATCTGCCAATCAGGCGGTAGATATCTTTTCTTTTGACTTACTTTTGACAGAAGTGATATAGAACCAGTTCTTTTTACCTGTAATATTCATTTGGAAGGAGATTGGTAGTAAATGTTTCCTATTTTCGGTTATTGATAAAACAATCCAAAAAGGTATTTACTAAGTGACTGCATCTAGAATTGTTCCTCATTTAATTGAAGGATACAAAATAAAAGATAAATCTGGTTTTAAATAAATAGGCTTAGTTCAAGAAATTAAGCAGTTCCACATCTATTTTAGTGTTACAAGATGTATACTTTATTTTATTGTTCCTTCCTTTAGTAAATAAGCCCGTGATTCTATCCACATTGACTGGTGATGTACTAGGATTTTGAGGCTTGCAATGGCATTGAAGACGTTGCTATACTGATTAGAGACAAACAAGTAGATGAAAATTTAAGGTACTTCATCTCTTCAAACTCTTTTTTTTTAATCTCTTCAAACTCAGTTTATTAAATTATAACATAAAGTCTCTTTCAAATTGCAATGTGCATGGTGTTCTAACTAAAGTGACGTCTTTTCATCCAAGATCATCCTGCATGCTAGTTCTAGTGTATCGACCCTATCCTTCTCTCCTTATAAAGTTCAAGCTGAATCCCCCCACCCCACCCAGACTCTCTCTCTCTCTCTCTCTCGGGGATAGTTTAGAGAAAATTTTATGGTGGCCTTTGACACATAAGATAAAGAATAACCATGAAACACACTGTCCAACGTAAATCCAAGATTTCTCTTCGCCACTTGGCTTGCATGGTTCTGAGAAATTTGATTTCACCAGGCTCAAGTGTGGAGAATTTCTACTGCTTCTGATTGGACATGTAAACGGGAGGGAGAGGCCTCCCATGGCGACAATTCATGAAGACATAAGGCGGTTTCTGGGTGAGAAATCTGCATCATTGATATGGGCAGCTAGTCAATTTGGTTCAACACTTGATCCAGAACAGAGATTGACAGCTTTGAACATTCAAGCTCGTAGGGTACTGGAGTCGATAGACCTTTATTGACAATCAAGTAAGGCTTTCTGCATCTTGTGTCGTTATGTAATGAGCAGAAGCCTCAGAGAAGTGGCAATTTCACTAACAGTCGTAACAAGGGTCGACTATAGGCTATGGAGAAGCCACAAAGAGGAAGATCAGTTAATATCTGGTGACATTAATATCTTACAATGTGTATTTTTGTAAATTATTTGTTCTATACAAAAGTACAATGCGTTCTAATGTTCTACTTTTATTTGTGTTGTCAATATATCTAGTATTTCATAAATCTCATCTGTTCTTTGATGGGATGTATCGCACGCTACAAATACGTGTATTTCACTTTTGTCTTCAATCCAACTACATCCAGGACTTTTGTGCATTTTCCTCTCGTTGATGAGTTGTCTTGTTTTGGTAAGATCACCCCATCTTCCAACAGAAGCATATAAATTTGCTAACATGACATGATTCCCAGTGTTTCCTGGTTCTAGCTCGATGAGCTTGTTTGCTGCAATTTCACCAACCTCAAGATTCCCATGGATAATACAGCCTCCAAGCAAGGCACCCCAGATCACTGTATCAGGGTCCAAAGGCATCTCTTTAATGACCTTCAATGCTTCATTAAGCTTACCTGTTCGACTTAAAAGATCAACTATACATGTGTAGTGTTTTAATGTCGGTTTTGCATTGTAAGATCCCATCAGGTCAAAGAACTCCAGTCCGGTCTCTAGTAATCCTGCATGGACACACGATGAAAGAGCTGACAAGAAGGTTATGTCGTTTGGTATAAATCCATTCTCCAGCATTCTGCGGAAGAAATCAATTCCTTCCTCCCCATATCCATGCATAGCATATGCAGTAAGCATTGCATTCTCTGTGACCAAGTTATACTTTTTAATGTTATCATAAGCCAGTCTAGCATGCTTGACACATCCACATTTTGCATACATGTCCACAAGAGCCGATCCTATGTGGGTGTCTGAGTCATATCCACACCTAACTGCATAAGCATGAATCTGCTTTCCACGGTCAAGAGTCGCTAACCTTGAGCAGGCTGGTAATACTGTTCCAATCGTGTAAATATCAGGCCTCAAACCTGAGGATTGCATGTCCAGAAATAACTGCAGAGCTGACTCATTACGGGCATTCTCAACATGGCCAGCAATAATACTGTTCCATGTGTAAATATTTGGATCAAATCCATCTGCCTTCATCTTCTCAAGAATGCATTCAACACTAACCATTTCATCAGAACGTGCATAGCTAGATACCAAAGCATTCCATGTTGGTATGTCCCTCTCATTCACCTCATCAAAAGCTTTCTGAGCAGCATTAACATCCAAGCATTTGCTATACATTTCTACAAGTGCCCCACCAACAAAAGCATCTGTTTGCAGACCCCTAACAATGGCACAGGAGTGTATCTCCTTCCCACGTCGTAAAAAACCCATATCAGCACAAGCAGCAAGAGCACTACCAAGGGTGAAAGTATCTGCTTCAATTTCCTCATTCCACATCACCTTGTTAAACGTATTCAAAGCTTCATCGAACATAAAGTTGTTTACATATCCTGAAATCATTGAATTCCATGATACTATATCTTTCCATTTGCCTTCGCGTTGCATTTGATAAAACAGCTCTTGAGCCTTTGAAATTTCTCCATTCTCAAAGTATCCCACTAACATGGTGTTGTAAGAGACATCATTTTTGGTCGAGAACATTGAAAATACACGGAATGCATTTCCCATATCCCCACACCTCCTGTACACATCAATTAAGCCGTTAACAACGAAAGAATTAGACATCAATTGATGTCTGGTCAGATATCCATGAATTTCTTTCCCCAAATATAGCATTTGCAATCTACCACAAGCAGGAAGTACACTTGCCAACGTTTGGGCATTTGGTTGGAAGCCAACAGCTCGCATTTTGTAGAGCATTTCAATGGCCTCTTCGTCGTATCCATTCTGTGAAAATCCACCTACCAAAGCACTCCAAGAAATAAAATTTGGAGCTAAATGGTCCTCAACAGACATCTTTTCCAAAACTTCTAGTGCTTCAATTAAGTTTCCATTGGCAGCAAAAGCAGAAATGACTGAATTCCAAGAAACACAATCCCTCTCTGACATGTTACTCAAAAACATTTTTGCATCCTCTAAACTCCCACATTTTCCATACATATCAATCAGAGCATTTCCCACGTAAATGTTGGATGCAAATCCATATTTTATCACGGTGCCATGTAATTGCTTCCCCAATTCAATGCCACCATAACCGCAACAAATCTTCACTACCACAGGAAACAAGAAAAACTCCAAATCAAAATCCTCAAATCGAACCTGTTGAAAACAATCAAAAGCTTCCTCGAAAAGCCCATCACTTAAATAGACATTAAGCAGAGCTGTCCACGAATACAAGTTTCTAGCACGCATTTTGTCGAACAAGAAAACTGCATCGTTAAAACAACCACATTTTCCATACATCTGAAGCAACTTAGTTTCAACAAACTCGTGACCGTGAAACCCATTTTTGAGCGCTTGCGCATGGACTTGTTTACCCAGCCTGGGGCATTTGCAGGACTCAAGCGCTGAAGCATAGGTGCTCGAATTTACGAGGTCGTCCAAAGGAGAAAAATGGGCCGGGCTCGTCGAGATGGGTTGTGGAAAATCACGTCGCCGAGTTGGTTTTGATTTGTGAAAGGAAATCTTAGAAGCTCTGAATTCAAGGGACTCCTGCGGTAGCTGTAATGGTAGTGGCTGAGCTATGGGTTCCAACAGGGAAAACATTTCGAGCATAATGTAAAGTGGTGAATTCCTAAGTTCACATTTTACTACAGTTGAAAAACACATAGGTGATTGGGTTGGGCCGGTTTGCGCTGTTATTGGGCCTCCCGAAATTCAAAAATAGCCAGATTTACAGGCTGTCATTCAAAAATAGCCATAGTTTCAAAAATAATCAAAATTTAGCCACTTTTCATGTAAAAATAAATCTGAACGAAAACACTGTTCAAAATCTGGAAAAATACTCCAGTATAATATACTGGAGTTCCAGTATAATATATCGGTCCAGCATAATATACTGGAGATTGGAGCACCGGTGCTTCAATCTCCCATATATTATACTGGAACTTTCCATGTTGCAGCAAAATAGTGGCTATTTTTCAATGACTTTGCAAACGCTGCTATTTTTGAATGACTAATCCGAAAACTGGCTAGCGCTTGCTATTTTTACTACGATTAAACAGAGCTAGGTAACGGGATGACTTCAAAAGTTCTGTAATTTGTAAATATTTGTTCTTTAGAGATTTCCAAAGTTTGTTGATTGTGTCGACATGCTACATTGTGATAGCTTCTTGTTAGGGGCAGCTCACATGTGGAACCTAAAGTTAAAATTTAATGTGTGACCTAAATTTTTAAAAGAAAGTTATAATATATATATATATTTATTTGAATTCTAATCTTTTAATTTTTTGAGATACAAAGATGTTAATATTATTTTACAATTAATTTTCTCTAATTATTCCTTTTCAATTGATAGTATAGTCAACTCATTTAATCTTTTTCTGCAAAATTGTTGATTATAGGTAAGATTTACTTGAACTAATGAAATATTGGAAAATGAAGATGAGTAAGAATATGAAAGAGAAAGACAAAATATAGGAATTTCTGAAATATAAAAGAGATTGGGAAAAAGAAAGATTGACTTGGACAAACTAGGGAAGGGGGAGTAAATTTTTACACGTTATCTAATGCAGGAATAAAATGGAATTGTCAATTCAACTCAAATTGAAACGTTAGAAAAAACTATTCATGTACTCATTTTTAAGTAAGTCAAATTGTTACTTTATTTCAAGAAGAAAAATGTTACTTTATTTATATATCTAAAAAAAATCTTTCTTTTTATATGAATTTTTTTATTTCTGAATTAAAAGTACTAAATATTATTTTTAAATATTTATAAATCTATTATTTGTAAACAATAGAGCCCCCGAATTAGGGAGCCTAAGGCACAAGCCTTACTACTGATAAGGGTAGAGACGGCCCTGCTTGTTGTTGCACCGTCTGTTTCAGCAAATCTATTTTGTTATGCTATATGAGATTGATGTTTTACAATCATATATATATATATATATATATATATATATATATATATATATATATATATATATATAGCTTACCGAGTTTTGAATAATTATTTTTACGTATTAAGTGAATTTCTTTCCACAAATATAAAATTTTGTCCAAAGCTAATAAATTTTGCCGTAACTAGTAACTATAATTTTAGCTCTCCTCCTGAGTCCCTGTCAAAACAACACCACAAGCACCCTGCCTCAACATTTAGCTCCTCAGATAAAGGCTATCACGCCAAATTCTGATGCCTTTTTTGTATGTACTTCACAGGCCTGAGAGTAGCCTCCATACAAGCATAATTAGTTAAATTGACCTAAGGCTTGCTCCCCAAGTGAAATGTTGTTATTGTTTAGTACTAGATGTTAGAAAAATTGCATATGATTAAAAGAGGAGTATAGGTTTGAGGCGTGAAAGCTGATCATTATCTTTCAAGAGATATTGTCCGTATATTCTTTAGGGGATTACAAGAAATTCTCTGTCAGGATACAACAAAGCCAGAATTATACTTGTAAATTGAATATTACTGCTCCTGGGGTATCCTTGTATTTATAAAATTCAAGAAGAATTTTCAGAAAAGTCACACTCCTATACGAACAATTATGTCTGCTTTATTTTAAATTCGAATTTTAAATAATCAGAAACTGCTACAAAAAGATAAATACAAAAATAAAACCTTTACTTAAAGGTCCGACCCGACCCGCGCCCAAGCCCCAAAGTCCAAGTATTTATATATATATTATATGTTACACATAATTTAGAAGTATGTCAAATACTCATTCTATATGACTTAGTCGGCTTAGCCTTTTAAGGCCTCAAAAGTGGCTTTCAGCCACCGATGTGGAAACCCCCACAAACTATAGCTAACAATCCCCCACTAGTTTGTATATGTATCATAATATCGTGTATAATGGAATCTTGTATAGATTTGAACTTTCCACTAGTGTAAATACCTTAAAGTTCGACGAAGTTATTGGTATCCTATGATTTGAAACAGTGAAACAATCCAGTATAGAGCTTTAGCACTTTTATGGCCATGTGCTACCCCTGATTTCAAGAATATTTATAAGACCAACCTTTTAAGTCTTATTCCAAGCGGCACCACTTCATATTTATATAGGTGGAATTTAGACTTTATGTCCTTGTTACTCAGACATTTGCTAATTCCATTAAGAATTAATTCAACCTCTTCAAAGTAACAGTTTGCTCTTTCGAGTTTGTCATTGTACCCCTATTATTACAGGCACTTAACAATTCTGTAGCTCCTCATATAACAGTAAGCAGTACATTGGAATTAATGCTGCTACGAGCAGATCAGTGCTTAAACAACACAAGTAACTTAATTACCCTTTGAACTTATATTATTAGAGTGTATACTAACTCAAAGTTGGGTTCCCATCACTTGTGTTTTAATTTAAGGGTTTCAGCCCCATTCCTTCACTAGTATGTTGTACCACTTCTTTTGGCAATGCCTTTGTAAGTGGATCATCCATTTTTTTATTTGATCTCACATATATTATAGTTATAATTTCATTGGTAATTAACTCTCGTATATAAGCATTCGAGATGCTTATATGTCTTGATTTCCCATTATACATTTTATTATGAGCTACACATATTGTAGTCTCACTATCACAAAATATAGAAATGGCTGGCATAGGTTGTGGCCACAACTTAATGTCTAGTAACATGTTCAGGAGTCGTTTCTCTTCTTTTCCATCAGCTGCTAATAAATTCAGATTCCATTATAGAACGGGAAATAGACGTTTGTTTCTTGGATGCCCAACTAATGGCACCACCTCCTAAAGTGAATATCCAACCTGAAGTAGCCTTGCTATCATTAACATTCGTAATCCAACTCGCATCAGAATATCCTTCCCATACTGCTGGAAAACCACTATAGCAAACACCCTAAGTGCTTTGTTTTTTTTTAAATACCCAAGCATTCTTATTATCGCTTTCCAATGATCATTAATTGGATTGCTAGTAAACCTTGAAATTTTATAAAGTGCAAATGCTATATTAGGTCTAGTTCAATGCATTGCATACATCATACTACCTATAACACTTGCATACTCTATTTGAGCCACTGTTCTTCCCAAATTTTCAGTTAAGTTGATACTTGAGTCATACGGAGTGTTAGATTATTTTACGCCGAAATGATTAAACTTGTTAAGTATCTTATTATTGTAATGGGCCTGTGATAAAGTCACTTTGTTATTTGCGGTTCTTTTATCCTTGATACCTAAGATAGTATCAATTTCATTCAAGTCTTTCATCTTAAAAACAGAAGTTAAATACTTCTTAGTTTCAGAAATTTAAAGCATATTCGTACGAAATATTAACATGTCATCAACATAAAGACAAATTATAACTCCATATTCTTTTACAAATTTGGAGTAAATACACTTGTCAGCATGATTATGTACGAATCCATTAGATAGTATTATACTATCAAATCTTTCATGCCACTGCTTTGGTGCTTGTTTCAATCCATAAAGAGACCTTATCAACTTACAAACTTTATGTTCATTTCCAGGAAGAACAAACCCTTTAGGTTGTTTCATATAAATCTCTTCACTCAAGTTTCCATTTAAGAATACAGTTTTAACATCCATTTTATGTACATACAAACTATATATAGATGCCAAAGATAAAAGTACTCTAATAGATGTTATTTGTAACGACCCGACCCGTCGTTACGGGAGCTACCGCCCCGTTTTCCCCGTTTTATGCTTCTATATGTTTCATTATATGTGTTTGGAGAATTTGAAGTAATTCGGTTAGAAATGAGACAATAAGTCTCTTTATGAGAAGGTTAGTTTGGAAAAGTCAACCGAGTGTTAACTTATGAGTTAGAAGGCTCGGAATGGATTTCCGATGATTCGACTAGTTTCGGGGGATGATTTGTGACTTAGGAGCGCAATCGGAATTGAATTTGGAGGTCCGGTGTGGAATTAGGCTTGAATTGGCTAAGGTTGGATTTTGGTGAATTCCGGATGGTAGGTGAGATTTTGATCCGAGGGTCGGAATGGAATTCCGAGAGTTGCAGTAGCTCCGTTAGGTGATTTTGGATATGCGTGCAAAGTTTCAGATCATTCGGAGGTGTTTAGGTCGGGTTTTAGATCAAATGCAAGTTTCGGAAGTTCTAGTTTAACTTAGGCTTGAATCCGTGGTAATTTGATGATTTTTGTGTTGTTTGACGTATTTTGATGATTGGAACAAGTTTGAATAAGGTCTTGGGGTGTGTTGGTGCTATTGGTTGAGGTCCCGTGGGCCTCGGAATGATTTCGGGTGGTTAAACGGAGAATCTTGATGTTTGTTGCAGGTCTGGTGCACCTGGCTTCTGGTATTTCCGCATCTGCAGAAAAGGAGCCGCAGAAGCGGTTCCGCAGATGCGGCTAAGAGATCGTATAAGCGGTCCATGAGGGACCGGGGTAATTCCGCAAAAGCAGACGGGGTACCGCTTCAGCGGGTCCGCATAGGCGAAAACGGGACCGCAGAAGCGGAATGGTGAGATCCGCAAAAGCGGATGGTTGGGCGCAAAAGCGGAAGGCCAAGGATTTAATGAAAAACCGCATAAGCGGTCATATGGCCGCAGAAGCGGTCCCGCATAAGCGGTTACGGGACCGCAGAAGCGAAAATCGCTGGGCGACAGAAGGGTTTTAAAA